GGGGGGGGGCTGTTTGACCTTTTGACCTTTACATTTTCATTAATATCTTCAAGACAGAAGCAGCACAAACGACAATTTTAGCAGCACAAACCAGCACAAACGTAGAACAGTTGATTGACACCAGTTTTGTTTGATTCCATTAATGTGGGGGGGGCTGGTTGACCTCTGATGACCTCCAGAAATTTTTATTAATATCTTTAAAACGATAGTAGCACAAACGAAAATTTTTGCAGCACAAACCAGCACAAACGTAGCACAATGGTTTGATACCACTTTTGTTGGATTTGAAGAAGGTGGGGGGGCCAACTTCACTCAGGTGCGGTACAACTGGTAGAACACCTTTAAAAAGCATTCTGACACCCATAGGTATTGCAGCAAACAGTATGGCATATTCTTTGGGAGTTGCTGGAAATTTATATGTGTTTAGGAGTTCTGTGTAAGACATAAGCTGTCCATTAGTATTATACAAATGATTCACAAAAATGATCTGTTTCTCAACCCAATAAGAGAAAAACAATGATTTATTTTTATACACTGTGTTCCTGTTATTCCAGGTCAAGTATGTATGGGGAGTAAAATTATGTTTATAAATCAGTGACCAGGCTAATAGAACTTGTTTGTGAAACATTGAAAGTTTTTCTGGAAGCTTTCCTACATTGTAGTCACAACCCAGGATAAAAGTTAGACCACCAAATTTAGAGAAGATATAGTGAGGAATAAAATTCCAAATGGAGACAGGATTTTTAAGAAAATGTTTTGCCCAGTTAATTTTAAACGTGTTGTTTAAGGTAGTGAAGTCCAAGATATTGAGTCCTCCATGTTGATAGTCGTTCATTATTACACTCTTTCTAATGTAATGTGTTTTGTTTTTCCACAAGAAGTTGAAGAGTATTCGGTCAATTTCCCCACAAGTTCTGTTGTCCACATGCAGAGATATGGCAGCATAAGTCAGGCGAGACAAACCTTCTGCTTTGGAGAGCAACACTCGTCCTCTTAAACCTAAATCTCTTTGTTACCACTGATTTAACTCAGATTGAGTTTTTTTAATTATTGGAGAGAAATTAGAGGTAATTCTGGTGTTTTGATCTTTACAGATAATCAAGCCTAAATTAAATCAGACTTCTTATGCATCCGTATTGGGGTTTAATTCCAAGAGCATCTGGCTGCAGACATCAGCTGGCGTCTTTGCCGTGACAGGAAATGACGTATCCGGAAAAACAAGTGTCATTACCTTCACCGGAAGTCATTACCTTTGCCGGAAGTAGTTTTTTTCGGGTCATTACCTTTGCCGGAAGTAGTTTTTTTTTCTTGAATACGCTTTATTGACAAAGCACAAAAGTAGTTTGGATTTGTCAAAACCATACCGTGTCGTTTTTCTCTTCGATTTGTACACTTTTAAGAGAAAAATTACACGGTGGGTCATTACCTTAACCAGAAGTCATTACTTTCACTGGAAGTAGTTTTTTAAAAAACAAAACTTACCGGATAAAGCTTTTTATTTCGGATTTTTTTTTTCTCTTCAGATCTGGACCGGCAAACTTAAGTAACGTTGTTACCTGCGTTGCATGAAAATTGAATATTAAATCCCTTTGTTCTTCAGACAGGAAATTTTAATGACAGTAGTACATACATACATACATAGACATATATATATATACACACACACACACACACACACACACACACACACATATATGTATATATACACACACACACAATAAAAGGCTGTAAAGTGAATTAAAAAACATATGGATAAAATGAGAACACGTTAAACTAAGACTTTTCAAAATGTGCAAACAAAATATTACTGGCTAAATATTCAGTTTTATTGTTAAGCCCAAGATGAACTTTTGACCTACACCAATTGCTAAAGTACAGGACTCCCAGAAGCAGTGAAAAACATTTCAGCAACACTCCTCTCTCACCAGCAACAAAAATTAGTTATTAAATATCCATAACACTGTCCTATTGTGTATCACAGCAGCTCATTGCAACAGAATTTAACTACTACAGCTGATAACTATTTAGCTAGTTGGTATTTATTTTGAGTGAAAAACAATAAAACCAAAGAAACACTTGATTTCACAACCATTTTATTTTGGGTACAAATGAATTTGCTGAAGCATGGCTTTCTCAACTGCATATCGATTCATCCCCTCCCATTTTTCCAACACTTTTGTTACCTGAAAAACATGCAGGATTACTTCAACGTCGTCGTCTTCCTCCGCTTGTCCGGGTCCAGGTCGTGGGGGCAGTATCCCAACTAGGGAGCTCCAGACCGTCCTCTCCCCGGCCACCTCCACCAGCTCCTCCGGCAGGACCCCAAGGCGTTCCCGGACCAGATTGGAGATGTAACCTCTCCAACGTGTCCTGGGTCGACCCAGGGGCCTCCTGCTGGCAGGACATGCCCAAAACACCTCCCTGGGGAGGCGTCCAGGAGGCATCCTGACCAGATGCCCAAACCACCTCAACTAGCTCCTTTCGATCCAGAGGAGCAGCGGTTCTACTCCGAGTCCCTCCCGGATGTCCGAGCTCCTCACCCTATCTCTAAGGCTGAGCCCGGCCACCCTGCGGAGGAAACTCATTTCGGCCGCTTGTATCCGCGATCTCGTTCTTTCAGTCATTACCCAAAGCTCATGACCATAGGTGAGGATTGGGACGTAGATCGAGCGGTAAATCGAGAGCCTGGCTTTCTGGCTCATCTCCCTCTTCACCACGACAGATCGGTTCAGCGTCCGCATCACTGCAGACGCTGAACCGATCCGCCTGTCGATCTCCCGATCCCTCCTACCGTCACTCGTGAACAAGACCCCGAGATACTTAAACTCCTCCACTTGAGGTAGGACCTCTCCCCCGACCCGGAGTTGGCAAGCCACCCTTTTCCGGTCGAGAACCATGGATTTGGAGGTGCTGACCCTCATCCCAGCTGCTTCACACTCGGCCGCGAACCTATCCAGCAAGAGCTGAAGGTCAGAGCTGGGTGAAGCTAGGAGGACCACATCATCCACAAAAAGCATAGACGAGATTCTCCTGCCACCAAACTCTGTTAAGGATTACTTCATACACTGTCAAATGTCGAAAAGTAACTTTTATACCAATCACTGCTGAAGACTGCGTTGTACCTCTGGAACAAGGACATCAAACACCAAGTCCAGAAACTGGAACTCTCTCTTCTTTATTAGTTTATCTATTCCTGAGCATGAACCAATCCGCTCTGTCAGCTCGTCAACCTATAAAACACGTTAACATAAAAATGAACAAAACGTTCCTCTCAGCATTAGACAACGGACCCAGGTGGCCCACTAACCATGCATCCACATAAATAAATGTGATGCAGCTTATTGTAAGTCAGTATACATTTACCTGTGCATCAGCAAAGTGGAACATCAGTGGCTTTAGTCTTTGCTTTAATTTAAGCGAGACACCTGGATCGTGCCAGATACATGCGGCCAGACTTCACTCCACCTGCTGCAGAGATCCTTATACACAGTCTGAGTAGAGACAAGAGTTAAAAATAAGCAACATTACCACAGAAAACAAGGGATTGCATTATCCTATGTCCAATTTTAGAGTCTTAATTTATTATAATTAAACATTACCTTGATTTCCCCATCTGAAATCACTGCCTGTGTTCCATTTTTCAAAGCCTCGATTGTCCTGTAATTTAGATAAAAATACATCTTATTAGCAAATGAAGAATACAAGCACATGTAAGGAGTTTTGTCAGGGTCACTTGAAGAAGTCCGATATTCATTTTAGATCTATATTTAAGGCCTGTAACTCCTGAATGATTTGCAGCTACATGTGCTTAAATCCGGTAATATTAATATAAACCAAACCCGATCAAAGCAGTCAGTCGACAAAAATATCTATTTTTTATAAGGTTAGGATTATTCTGAAACAGAATCAGAAGGAGGGCGGCATTAATTAGAGAAGTGGCTACTATTTCAAAGTTATTGTACCTGTTGCAGGACACCTGATTTGTGCAACCACAGTAGAATGACCCAGCACACCACACACAAGTCAATAACTGAAAAATATTTAGAGATATTGAAAGCTAAGCTTGTCCAGAAAATACATTTTATTTCTGGGTGCACAGGACCAGTTCCAGTGTGGGCCAGATGCTGAAAAATAAATTCATAAATCTGTCTTTTTGAAGTTTCACAAATCAGAGGAAGGTTTCACAAATCACAAACTATGTTTTATGCATTCCTACGAGCCCAGAATAATCTAAAACAGGTTTGAAGAGTGTATGTATTGTAGGTTTTGAGCTAGAGCAGAATAAAAATGGTCAGAGTAGAGAAAAATTGGGTGTATTAGCCCTTTAGCCATTTCCCGAATCGGAAGCTAACTTTAGCCTCGTATGAAAACTAGTGATTGAAACCACTTACAAATCTCTGAAAATCTACGCTTTTTAATTAAAAAAGGGTATTAATAACGTTTCAGTCAAGTCAGTATTAGAAATTGTGGTCTTTATATCATATCTAAATTATATATAAAGTTAATATTATTACTTTAACTGTTTTAACAAACAGGGAGACCAGAAATTCAAATAGCTAAGTTAAAGCTAAGCTACAATTGCTGATAGCTTTATTTATGTATCTTTTGTGTTAGCTAGCTTGTGATCTCCCTGCATTAGTTTTAAGACTGCGTGTTAATATTGATACAATTAGCTATGAAACACGGTGCCTTTGCAGTAATTCTCTGGTAAAGCTTTAAAAGCTACAGTGCCTACATTTAAGAACTAAGAACGATTGCAACAATTAGTTAATTTCATCCTTATCCTTCTTTCTTTATCTATCATCCTTATCCTTACCTTTCCTCAATTGAAACCCGCCGAGTATGGTTGAAACAAAAACAACGTAGCGGCCGCCAAAAAAAGACCAACTTCCTGCCGAGGTCTTTCGCTCGTCGATTTTCCGGTAAAAGTAATGACACGCCATCTTGCTCTCGACACACCAGCTGATGTCTGCAGCCAGGTCCTACTACTCTTTAATTCTGCGGAACCCAAGTCTTCAAGCTATGTTTCTTACCGGACTTCCGGTTATATGTATTCTGGCTGGATAACGATAGCTTTCCCAGAGTTTTTGCTGGACTAAAAGATAGAACAAATCTTTTCAAAACGCCGAACAAATACAGTGTATGTAGAAAGTAATTTTATTTTGTAAGCGATTTTTTAAACGGTTCATGTCTCACAGATATCTGCTTATTGTTTAGCTAGTCGCTGCTCTCGGGCTGTTTGTTTAAAAAACACCTAAATCTACCGTCAGCACTGGCCTGTGCGACGTATTTAGCAACAGTCTGTATACATGTATTTTAACCATAACGATATTATCACGGGAACTTAGTTACTAATTCTGTGTAGCTTACAGCTAACCGATTAGCTCTGGTTCAATATATATTGGCCAACAATGAGTTTCTCTGCGTTACGAGTCTGGTTGGCTGCATACAATTAATATGTTTTTGTTTACAGTTATTTTTGTTAATATAATTAAAGCAGATTGCATCCTTATTTATTATGTAGTGTTACCTCAGACAATTATAAAAGCGACGTTCTTTTAATATTAGTGTGAACATTTCTTTGCGTCTTTATTTTTTCAAATTTTCATCAAACATGGATTCAAAGTTTCTGTGCTTTGACCAGTATGGATTTTTAGCCCATGTAAATCAGCCACTTTGGTTTTATATTTGAGCGAAGAGATTTGTTTGTGGAACAGCATTTTCTTGCCCAATAAATAACAAATTATAAAGTGTATAATGTATTCTCTTCAAGTTTTTTGCTTAAAATAATCTAAGAGACTTGTCATATTTCATACAAATAAAATTTGTATACATATAAATTAAGTTTTGATTAAACAGTTTCCAACCATTATTACTGTACTCTTTTCACAGTTTAGGGCCTCTAGCATACAGATCCTGAATGCTACATTTCATAAAGTCTCCCAAAAAGGCATAATTGTAACCCATGACCTTTGTTTTTTATGTTGTTCCTACAGGCTGATGGCTCGTCACTTTCCTCCTGTCCCCTCTGATGTCACCTACTTTCTGTCCTCAGTTCTTCCTCGTGGTTTTGCTTTGGGGCCTTCGCTGCTCTGTGAAGGCAGTGTGGGGCTTTGGTGGGTCGGCCACCCGCTGGAGGCCGGGACTCTGCTGGGAAAAGAAGGCGACACAGACTGGATCTCCAAGAGTTACCCGGTAACCTACAACTGATGCAGCAAACTCACAACAAACAACAGCGGTGTTAGTTAGACCCTCACAGGAAGTCAACAGACCAATCACCTACATTATATTTATAGACTGGATATGTCTCCCCATTCTTTTCATTTTACCCCTTCAGCTAATAAAAGTCATAATTCAGACCTTCGTTCCTGCTCGATGCAGCAGACACTTTTAAAACGGCTTCACTTATTGAACATTGTGTTGAGTTCATACAAACCAAACACATGGGCTGTTTTCTAACTGATTTTCTTCATTTGATCATCTGCACTTGTCCATACCCCAGAAAGTAGAATTGAAATGCTGCTGATTATGTGATTGAGATATAGCCTCCAAACATCTGGAGCTTCCACATGTTTGATGCTGCACCTCTACTAGGACAAGCATTGCAATATAATGGAGCATACGTCTATTAAACTGTCTGAGTCCATCGTGTCTGACTGACTTAACGTTTGTTTCATCAGCCTTGAAATCCTTCGCAACCTGTCTCTGTCTAGTGAGACTGTATAACCATTTAATGAAGCGCTGACCCCATGGGAAGATAATGGTAAATGTATTTGCATAGTGCCTTCTAGGGTCCTACAACCCCCCCCAAGGCACTTCACAATGCAGTCAGTCATTCATGCATTCACACACACATTCACACGCTGGTGATGATGAGCTATAATGTAGCCACAGCTGCCCTGGGGTGCTCTGACGGAAGCAAGGCTGCCAAACACTTGTGCCACCGGTCCCTCCAACCGCCAAGGTCTGTCTTGGCCCAGGACACAACAGAGATGATCGTTCAACCCTCCGATTACTGGACAACCCAATCTCCCTTCTGAACTACTGCTGCCCATAATGAATCTGTCCTTGTAATTTTCACCAAATATTCCACCGAGGAAAAATTATGAGAAGAACCAGCAAGGCGCTTCTCATGTGAAATGATTTCCAATGGTTCTGCAATCTGAGCTCAACCTGTCCATCTACCATCTGAGTCCAACACTGACGATAATTACTACCAGAAATATGAAAGTACATACTTTATCCTGCTAGGAAAACAAAACCTGTGCATTCAGATGCTAACAAAATCTTTTTGGAGATAATGCAAATGTCTGGGTTTTTTTAGACACTGATGGAAATGTCAGCAAATCAAGAAGCTCCTTTACAAAGAGCCCCCTGGATCAAGTAAGTTCACACAAAGTTAAGGTTTATGCTGAGTTCTTTTAATTATTTTATATCCAAGGCTGATCAAAGTCTTAGCGACGGTCCAATTTAAAACCTCAGACAAACGTTTGAAGGTTTGACCTACAGATGGCGATGTGTAACTGTTAAAGGGTACAGCATCACTGGAATTACAGTAAAACCTTGGATGGAGCCATGGGAGTGTTTGTGTGAGTTGATTCCTAAAAGGCGATAAACTCATTATGTGAAGTTAGTGGCATAAAGAGAGTAAGATAAAGAAAAAAAAAGATTTTTACAGTCTAACCCATACTTGTCGACAACACTCTTATCAGACTTTTATTTTTACGTTTTGCCTCTGTCTCAGAGCCACGTTATGTGACGTTTTTCAATAATTATAATTTTTAAATTCATGTAGAAGTTCCTGTATGCTGCTGGTACAGCCCATTTCCTTGGGAAAACGTCCTTTAGTGTTTTAACTTCTTCACAGACGTTATTATCGTAGTCTGTGGGTGTGTAATTATCAGACTGGGAAACTGCCAGACTCTCTTTGCTGTCTCAACCTGTAACATTTCTCCTCTAAACTTCAGCAGCTGTATTGTCTGTAATGCTGTTAATCTGTTAATCTTTTATTTAAAAATGTGAATGAAAAACAAAAGAAACTCATGTTGAAAAATCCAGACTTTTTTGTTAAAGGTGAAATATGTTCAGCTGCCATTTAATAGCTGATGTCTTAATTAAAATCAGAAACTCCTCCTATTTCTGTTGTCTTCAGACTGGTCCAATCCCCCTGTGGGCTTGATGGTGTATTTTGTCTGTCTTTTATCTTTTTTTTTTCTTCTTGACGGTTGCATCTGTGACAACATTGTCTCTTGCTCCAGGCTGTGTACTTCTAGGTGTCCTGATTAAACACTGCCCCAGTTTTCTCTCCCACAGAGTGAAACTGTGAAAAGAAAAGCAACATCTTGTTGATATTGTTGACGGACATTCATGTTTTGTAGTTTTCCTTCTGTGAATGAGCTGGTACGTGCACGTGCTTCTGCACCTCAAGTGATTGGTTGCACCGTGGGTGTGGTTATAAATATAAGCGCACACCTATTGTTTGGTATATTTTTGTTTGTGCTGGCCTGCATTATGGTGGCGGGGTGTACTGGGGAGAAATTTCTGTTGACCGCTGTCTCATCAATTTACACCTCGAAAGATCTGCACTGTCTATGAAGTATTGTTTGGCATCTAATCACCATCGATTACACCCAAGGCCGAATTAACCATATGGGCAACTGGGCAATTGCCCAGGGCCCACAAACTCTAAAGGGCCCAAGGCATCAAGGGCACGAGCAAAATACTGTAGGCCTATCTGTAACCTCCCGCTTTATATTAAACTAGGGTGACCGTCCTGTTTTCCCCGGACATGTCCACTTTTCACTCTCTGCCCGGGCGTCCGGACTGGGGGTTCTTGTATTGATGAAAATGTCCGGCTTTTCATCCAGGAGCAGGGATCGAATTATGGGGGGAGCTGGATATCCTACACATCCAGGGGAGCCGGAAAAAAGTTGTCTACCGATATTACATCATTCATGGACTCTTGAGCAGAGAGCACAGAGAGCGGCAGAGCGATGATCGTTGTTGTGCAGTGCTCCAGGCTGCCGCGTCCAGCGCACGGTCCATTCTCAATGTGGTGCAACCAAAAAACTATAATTAGCACACGATCGTTCATGTCCGCACATGTTCTCTACTTTCTGTCTTATTTGTGCTTGAAGCGCTCTGCCACTGCGGAGCTCATCACCTGTGTTGCGGTGATTTCACCTCACTGAAGCAGCATCGCAACGCGCACTCCGCTTTGCGTTCAGGAGATCTTTGATCTGCTAAAAAGTAACTGATGAGGTGAAAAAGTAAGAATCCAGGCAGCAGTTTTTCTGGAGAGTTTAGAGGCGATGCAGGAAGATGAGAGACAGACAGGACAGGAAAATAGTTAAATAAAAACAAGAAAACAAAACAAAGTGTTGAAAAGTAAAATGTAGGTAGATTTATCTCCACTGCACGTTTTTACCTGTATAAAACAATAAGTTATACACATGTAATATTTATACATCTGACACAATTCAGATCACCTTCAAAACTCAGTCACACACCCAGGGCCGTTTCAAGACATTTTGGGGGCCAAGGCAAAATGCAGAAAAATGAGATTTTGCAATAAATATGCAAAATATCTACATATGAATTGTTTTAGAGCCCTTTTATTGGCAGAATCTGATATTAATTTAGTTCTTACAAAAAATGGGTCCCAACATGGTTTGTGTGGCGTTGCCATAGTGTGATGTCATAGGCACAGATCCCCTGTCCTCTTGTTGGGAAATGGAAATATGGTCACTCTATATTAAACAAACTGTCCACCCGGGCTTTTGCGCTGCACAGAGACGCTTCGCTGCCTATGACTTTGAACGTCAGTTGAGAGTCAGTCTCATGCAGACTGACCAATGAAGAGAGGGCCTCAAGTTAAGACCCTCTCCTCATTGGTCAGTCCACACGAGGTGGGTCAAAGGTAACTCTGGCCGGGTTACGTGATGTCATGCATTCAAGTAATGAGTATATTTACTGCATATTACAGTAATATATTCTTTATGTGAGCACATTATGGTGATCCTCGGGTCATGATGATGGGGCCCTTGAATATTGTTGCCCAGGGTACAACAAAGTGTTAATCTGGCCCTGTTTACACCAGGTCCAAAGTTGCACACAAACTAAAAAATATATTTTTTTTTAGTAATGAATAATCTAATTAGTTACCGTCTGCTTTTATCATAACGCCGTTTCTGTTGCTGATAAGAAAATGTGTGCGTTACTAATTCAGCTGCGTGGTGTGTTGAAGCCATCATCAGCTGATAGGGAGCTAAAGAGGCGAATGTTTTCATCCAAGTGCATCACGGCCCGCAGATTCACTGCTGCACGCGTGGACCTGCAGCTTTGATCTTCTTGGCGTTACAGCGAGACATTCTGAAGGTCCGCTCACCCGTTCACCGCTCAGACGTCACAATCTTCTACCATCCTAGATCATCCAACATCATCCTACTATAACCTGTTTCTGCTCATTTCTTTCGTCCCGCTGTAACACTGGTTACATCAGTCTCAGACGTCATGGGCGCTCAGGTGTTATTAGAACTACCTGTGTGTCATTACCACCCAGCTTCAGCTCTTCTGTGTTTGGGTCCTCCATCAGATTTGTGCTTCTTCTAGTGTCATTTTATAGGACTTTTATTTATTTAGCCATTATTAGATTGCCAGCAACAGAAATGCTACTAAAAACACACAATTATGTGAAGCTAGAAAACTTAGAATACTGTTCAAAATTACATTTATTTTAGTAATTTAAGTAGACTGAGAGACCATTTAAAGGCTCGGGAACCTTACAGGTGTTTCTATTTGCAGTTATAAATTTTAGCTGATTGGGGTCTTGTTAAATATCACACAGTGACCTTTTAACAAATTAATTTCAATAATTCAGTTTTATAAAAACCATTTGGAAATACATTTTATTATGTTCCAGTCATTAGTCATTTATATTTCAGTATTGTAGTCATTTATAGTAAATTAATTAAGTTTAGTTAAGAGGAGAACCCATTTTTCTTGCATTCTTTAATGAAAAAAGTAATGAAATAGTTATTTTTTTTTGGTAATGAGTTACTTTTATAATCTTGTAACTCCGTAAGTAACTGAGTTACATTTTGACAAAGTAATCAGTTACTTATTACGTTTTTAAAGTAACGTTCCCCACACTGTAAATGAGACCCCTGTTCTTTATCAAATGCATAGCACTTTGTAGCGTCATATGGTCAGAGGTGTCTAAACATTTACAACACAGACCAGAATTGCTGTGTTGGAAAGGCCTAGCCTTGAAATCTAGACGGACAGTAGCAGAAGCAAACTTTTTGATGGCTTGCCAGGCTAGAAAAGGCACACGAAATCATTAGACATAAAAAGATTCTCATATGTTCACTTAAAGCGTCAGAGTCTTTGAATTTAAGGGTGAGGGCCTCGAGGGCCGGTATCCAGCACGTTTTGATTTTAACTCTGCTTCAACACACCTGATTTCAATCAGCAGGTAATTAACAGGCTTCCACAGAGCCTGACGAACTGCTGCACAGGCGATTCAACCACTGAATCTAGTGTGTTGGACTAGAGAAACCTAAAACGTGCTGGATACGGGCCCTCGAGGCCCAGAATTGAGTATCCATGGGTTGGCTGGTCTTAAAAATAACTTTTAGTTGATTGTGGTCACTCTTTCTTTAGTCAAGTCGTATAAATGATTCTTAAAAGTCTGCTTTTAGTAAACGTCAGTGAGGATTTTTGGTTTGTTTTACTGTGTAACTAGAAATGGGGTTAATTGCAACAAATACTTTGTATAATGCCTAATCTTTTTTTGTTCAATTGTTTTAAAACTGTTTACATTTTTGTTTCATATAAATTAAATAAAAATGTCTATTTGGGTATGTTCCTGTGTGATTCTCATTCTCACTGATGAAAAGACTCAAACTGTGCTAAAAACGTTTAATCACATCAACATCAGAAGGTGTTAATATAAACATTTACAGCCAAGTAGACAGTTAGATTGCTTCAGTCCATTTCATGTTGTTTCCTGCTGTCCATGTGGAGGAGCTAGAGGGACATTTACCTCACTGTCACCCCTGGAACCCTGAAAAACTCTTGTTTACCACAAAGGTTGTAATTAGAGTCTTACTTAAGGAAGATAAAGAGTTATTGAACAATGTTCAGAGCAGATGAGTCACTGATCTGTTTGATAAAATACATTTCCACATCAGCATATTTTAAAATCACTTGTTTGAAGCTTTGTGAGCAAAAACTCCAGTCAGCAGAAAATAAAACTAAACCAAGATGGAGAAGACTCTGAGGAGAAACAGTTTCTTCATCAAGTAAATGAAAAACCAAGCAAGAGCATAAAATCATTGCAGCACAGTGGTTAAGTAGGAATATGACAGCCCAGCTCATCCAGACCTTTGTTGTTCCTACTTGGTGGAGCTTTATGTGCGGTGAGGGATGGAACGCATGCAGAAAATACCCAGAAGCTACAGACTGTGGATATCTTATTAAACTCCTGCTCTTTTAGTGTACTGATTCAAACAGATTGAGCCTATAAATCTTAAATGCATCTCAAAAACAATTATAAACACTAAATTAAAGAAAATAAGATAGGCGCTTGATCCCTGCAGGGAAGTGACATTGTTATTGTTTTATTTAAAGGGACAAAAGAAAAGCCGTATTTTGGCTAGAACGTATAATGACCGTGTGATAAAAGAGACCTTGAAATGGATCAAAAGAAAAGACAGAAGAACCAAAAGAAGATATGAAACTGAGAATGCTCAAATTGTTAATCTGGAAAAAACAACTAAAGTATAAAGGGACGTGTGCGTATGTTATGAACCAGAAGTGAAACAAACCAACCTGATGGGGTAATGAGGAAACAAGGCCAATTAAATAAAGAATGATAAAGTGAATACAGAATGAACCTCCTTCATTTATTGTGTGTGTTGGATATTAATCTGGCTCAAGCCTCACATTTATTTAATAACTGGTTTTCAATTTAAGTAAATTCAAATATTATTTTTTGTAGCCTCAAATCATCTCAATGAGTTCTATATTTAAGTACAATGGCAAGATTACGCAAATACAGAGACCTTCATCAAACCCTGATCAAATCACATTAAAGGAAGAAACAGCGTGGGCTGTAATAGGAATATTCACTAGCACTTTGCCTAAATAACAATGAAAAATGTTTCAAGATTTGATTTGATAAGAGCCAAATTATCAGGGAATAGAATCCTAACATCAGGTGGACTGTTTTATTACAAATGGCCATTAATAAAAGCACTAAAGCATGGACATACAAGTGTAGTCAATGTTTACTCACATGTTGCGGCCTGTTAATGTTGTGGGGAGTGTATGACAAAATTCAAAGAAACCAAAATCAAAAGTTAAATATTTTTAATTACTCTGGCGGCTATTTGACCGCTCTTCTTGGCAGAATCAGTAGCATTAATTTAACTTGTGGTTTCTTGGCACAAACATGTCTTTTTAGCAAAGTTTCCAAACTTTCTAAAGTTTATGGCCATTCCGGAAGCTTAAGTCAGCCTGTGTTATCCAGTCGTGTTTCATGTGCTTGGGGCCATTGTGCTTTTGCACACCCCATTACGTTACCACCACCTAAAAATAAGTAAATGTGACCAAAATAACTTAGTGTGAGCTTAATCATTAAATAATTATTTTATTCCTATTCTGATTAAACAATTTAGAGTGGCCATATCATTGAAAATCCACTTTTTGGAGCTTTTTACCATGTGGTATTGTTATTTTCTCATGAAATGATTAAAGCTGGGTTTATTTTTCATTTGGGTAGGAATAGGCCATGTGGCCTAAATCTGTATCACAATATAGTATTTTCTTTTATTCATTTTTGCCAAAATGACTATTTTTGAACATTCTCACATAGAAAGAAAACAATCTTTTATATAGCGCCTCTCAAGATAAAAATCACGAGGTGCTTCACAAAAACAAAAAAATGAATGTACCCAAAAAATAAAAGTATAAAATGATAAAAAATAAATTTTTACAAAAATGTTTAAAAGAAGAGAAAAAACAAATAAGGAAAGCTGCCGTTTTATCGGAGAGGGCGTAGTGCCAGTTCTGTTTCCAAGGACACTTTCTTCTCATTCGTTGTGTCATTGTGGCCAGTGATGTATTGTAGGTTATGTTATGAATGGATGGAGCTCAGGCCGCTGGAGGTGAGGTTGACTAAAACAGACCGTTTAATTTCTGGTTACAAAGACATGACTAAGGACCAAGGATAGAACCCTGTGGCACACCAAATTCATGATCAGGAAGGTAAAGAGGCGATTTCCAAATCCTACACACAAGAAATGCATTTAAAAAAACATTTTGCATTTTAGGAGGTGGAAATATGTGTTTTATTTCATCATAACCTAGAGAGTTTTTATGTTTTTATTGGACAGCGGAAAGCATGGATGAAATTAAAGAGGCCGAGGCTGTAATAACCAAAAAGACAAAAGAAGGACCAAAGAAGAAAGAGTTGAAAAGTCAGGATGAGGAGGAGGAACACAGCTGCTTGAGGAGGAGCCACCCAATCACACTTGGGAGGAAGAGGAGAATTAAAATCATCCAATCCAACCAGAGTCCTGAGTGTGACATCCAGCAAGACATTCCTTCAGACACAGCAGATGTTGGACACTCAAACGCTGTCCCTTCAGACAAAGACACAGACGACTCACTCCCCGCATCTCTTTCTGTCCGCTGCAGCTCTCGTCTAGCTGCTAAACCCCGACGGGTTCACAGTCTGTCCAGCAGAACTCGACACCCCCCTGCTGGATCTGACTCACCCAAACAGAATGAAGAGCAGAGCAAAGACTCAGCTGAAGGCCTAGATGTCTCTCCATCACACCCTGAGTCCGTTGTCACAGCTTGTCCTGCTGAGAAGGTCTCTGAGTTGCAACCGGAGGTCCGAGAGAGGCGGTACAGCTGTTCCAGCTGTGGTAAAAAGTTCTTCCAGATTGGTCACTTGAAGAAACATCAGTTTAGCCACACTCATGAGAAACCATTCACCTGCCAGGCCTGTGGGAAACACTACACCTCAGCAGAAAGCTTCAAAGCCCATCAGGTACAGGGAGTGGTGGTTCTGTGGATTAGTAAAACATGTATTTTTATATTGATTTTCTCTCCTCTCATTTAACTTTAACATGGATGTTCTGGTCAGAGTCATGTCAAACAACTTGGGCCCCATATGGGTTTGGAAAATTGATTTAATCCAAAAAAAAAAAAAAGCCCCAGCTTCCAAACTTTTGTATTTTTTCAGTGGCTCAGGTAATGTCTTTGAAGTGATGACACAGAGATGTTACGAGATCAAGCTGAAGGCTGATGTATTAACTGGAACGCTGTAAAATCTCAGAGATGTCATTTCTTTTCTTTCCCCAAGAGTTTAAAAATATTTTTATTTGCTATTTTCAAAGAACAACATAAAGGAGAAGCATGAAACAAATGAACAAAGAGCAGAGTTCAGTAGTCAGAAATCAGACAAGCCGCTGCTCAGGTGATATCCTCATGCTATAGTGTAGACATAAATAAGACATCAGGTTTTCTGTCATGCTAGACTAGATGCTCCATTAATAATCTGCACTTACCAGAAAGTATGATGAGGCCCAAAATGTCAGAACGTTAACCAGATTCCTGTGATTAGCACAGTTAATAAAGGAGACAGGAGAAAAACTGCCCATTATCTTTGTAAAGGTATCAGTTCTTTAGACGCAACGTGAAGAGACCGGTTTAAACTTTTAGAAATGGTCTGATGATAAATTCACTCTTATGTAAGGGTTAGGTTGTGATGCCCCAGATTATTGACAGATTACGGATTTAGCATTTTCCCAAACACCTTACCTACTTGGAATCTTAATTCCAATTCCCCCTCCCAGGTCGCTCCCAGTATCAAGGCCTAAACCTCCCTAGAGAACCTTAGAAATAGTTCTGGCATTGTAGAAGACGACACATTTCCACTTCAGTTACAGATAATTGCCAGATTTATTTTAATATTATGTGATTCATTATTGTTTTAAATGTAATTTTTAACTTCTTTTATTTTAATAATTTCTGGTCAAACGTCATTAGATTTTCAACATTAAAAAGATCTATAACGTGGATTTCCATGTGAGAAATCCTGAGTGAAAAGTCCTTTATAGTCAGGATTCTTAAAAAATGATGAAAATGTGGATTTTATTACTCAGATCTTCCATCATCTTATTTGACAGCCCTCTAGGCCAGTGTTGCTTGTTACTGAAATGAAAGGAAAGATTTTAACACAAACCAGACTCAGAACCAGAGCACTGGTGTACTGAAAAGATTGACCTCTCCCTTGTTAAAAAGCCCCAGCAGGAAACCAAAGAAGAATCAACACTCACAGCAGTGGGGCTGATCCATATTACTTAAAATAATAGAGGATTTGCTTCCAGATGAGTCACCGCGGTGAGCGTCCATTTTCCTGTCCCAACTGTGAGAAAACCTACTGTCTGAGGCGGGACCTGCAGGAGCACATGGTCCTGCACACCGGAGAGAAGCCTTACACCTGTGAGAACTGTGGCAAGTCTTATGCACGACGTCCTTCCCTGCGCGTTCATCGCCGCCTCCACTGCAGCAAGATGAGCTACACACAGTCTCCAAAGGTCATTTCAAATCATACCAGCTTTATTAAAGGGGCCATATTATGGAAAATCCACTTTTTGGAGCTTTTCACCATCTTCTATTGTCATTTCCTCATGATAAATACCCCTAAACCCTTTTTTGACTTCATTCATGCATTTTCCTGTCTCGGCTGCATTTGACTGATGTTACGATTTTTCCTACATGCAGCAGAATGTAACCCATTTGCGTCATCTGGCATTTCTTCTCCCCCTGAACCTGTTCTGGTCTCGTTCCATTCGTCCTGTCTACAAAGATGCATGTAATGGCCAGCTCAGGATATGTGTTAGACGACATGTTTTGTAACAGACTCAGTGGACCAGCGGTTAGAGTGACAGGCTGGCATATAGTTTAGCGCAGGCGCGCCTCCTGATCCCGGCAGTAACTTTTTTCTTCTATCTTTAGCTACACTTGCCAGTATTATGTTTTCCACTCTTTTTCCACTGTTTTTTCTTTGTTTGTTTAGCCAATGTGAGTCCATATGAAGTGAGTGGAGTGTCAAATAAAATACTGCTTTGAAATGACCAAATTCAAAGATCTTTGGAGACACAACAAGTATTTTGCAGATAACAATCAATGAAACTAAAATGTAAGTAAATTTGCTGGCCATTAGGTGTGTCTTTATGGACAGGACACATGGTTTTCACAGCGGCGTTTTGTCCCCAACACAGAGATAATTTGTCAGAATATCCACTCTGGTACTGGTGCAGATTTTTTAATGACTTTCAGACTAAAACATTCTCAACCACGGCATGAAATGAATCGCTCTATACTCGCAACTCTGAAAATCTGGGCATTAGTGGTCTACTTCCAGGGGAGACAGGTTTCAGATCTGAGACTAGATTCATGGGGAGGATGACACACTCAGTTTCCATCCTCATGTCTGCAGGTCTTAACTTGCACATGAGACAGAAAAATACATGAATGTAGGCAAAAATGGGTTTCATGAGGAAATAGCAATATCACATGATCAAAAGCTCCTAAAAGTGGCTTTTCTTTGATATGGCCCCTTTAAAGTCATCAGAGATGCTTGCTGCAACTTGTTTTTTGTTTGGTCTCCCAGGTGCAGTGTTCAGTCTGCTCCAAGTTGCTGGCCAATTCGAATTCCCTGAGGAACCACATGAAGCTCCACACGGGAGAAAAGCCTCACATCTGTCAGCAATGTGGGAAGTGTTTCAGACAGAAAGGTATGTAAGGTGTGATCCTGCAGCTGCAGCAATCCGATCAGCAGTCAGCTGTGATCATTCTGATGGAGCTAGACATTTGTCTGACAGTTTATCTTGTTTAAGGCCGCCATGTTTGACCTGTAAAATAATCTGGACATTAAATCAGTTCAAAGGAAAACTCTTAAATCTGTATATGCATGAGACATATTTCATAGGTGCCAACAAGCAATCATAATAACCACGACAAACAAAATAAATAACAATGTTAAAATATGTAAAAATGAGCTAGGTTAAATTAATGGTTCAGATTTTATAAGAGTTTTAATTGTTATCCAAACCTATGTGATTGTTTTTTTTTTAATTCATCCTCAACAATAGGACTAAATCTAAATGCAGTTCACATAACAGCATCAAGGCTCTTTAAATAGAATATATCGTATTTTCCGGACTATAAGCCGCTACTTTTTCCTACGCTTTGAACCATGCGGCTTATAATGAGGTGCGGCTTTAGTTAACCAGAAAGGATGTATGCTAGAAAGTCTAATGAAGGAATGGTTAAAGGAGTGCTACGGAAAGCACCCAGGATGATTTTTTCACAGTAAAACGGCGCTGCGTGTTTTCCCAGCTTCACCCCGGGATGATGACAGCAACACGGAGAGCGACACTAACATCGCCACAGAAAAGGTATGTGACTAAGCTCTTCTGAGGCTGTTCAAGTCCGACACTGAAGAAGATGACTTCAATGGTTTCAGTGCGCAGGAGGACGATGAATAAACGAATCAATAACTTTTCTGCTTTGTTTGTTCAGTTATGTTCAGTTAAACTATGTTTTCAATTCAGTAGATATGCGGCTTTTAGCCCGGTGCGGCTTATATTGAGGTGTGCTCTATAGTCCGGAAATTACGGTAATAGTCTTTATTGTCATTATGTCCAGAGGCACAAAAAAAATTAAGGGTATTCTCAAATGGTAAACATGGATGTTTCCACATCTGACTGTTCATAGACCAATGTCACATGCATTACTGTTGAAGAGGATGGGTTGTATCCCTCCTGACAAAGATGTCGTCTCATTATAAACGCAGCTGTCCAGCTGAAGCTCATTCTCTTCATTCCATATGGAGCCAGTCTCCTCCCCTTGAGGTCAGCTCATGGGTGCCCTGAACAAAAATGAGTGGAAGTGAATGAATGGGGCTCTGAAACAAATTTTATGACCTGCTGTGCCTTACGCCCTGAATCATATCTGTTATACTTCCATTTAAATGAATAAAAATGTGTCTTTAAAATTCACTGACATTAAAGGGACTTTACGGAGTTTTGAATTTTTATGCTCGCGATTGCCCCCTCAGGCCAAAAGCGTAATGGCAGCTTCAATAGTGGGTTCATGCACGAGGCGTGCATGCTGTACGTGCACACTCCTTAACAAAAATAACAGCTGAGACAGTCCCGTGTGTGTGTGTGTGTGTGTGTGTGTGTGTGTGTGTGTGTGTGTGTGTGTGTGTGTCCCGGAGGACAGAGGACAGGAGAACGCGCAGCTAATTAATTAAATAATCTGGTTATGTACCTTTCTCTTCAGCACAGCCGACAAAGGTTTAAGATGGGTCAGTCCTGCATGCTCAGATGATTCCCTTCCGTTGCTTGAAAAATTGTTCCAAAATGAAAGTTGAACCCACATCTTTTTTTATCTGTGAAATGAATGCCATTCGGCGAGTCTCAAATAAAAATGTGGGCATCTTACTGTAAAAAAATATACCATTAATGTAAATAAGAAACTCTAAATAAACTGTGTTCACATCTAGAATTGAACCCAGGTCTTCTGCACGAGAGTCCGACATTTTACTAGGTGAGCTAAAGCGCCAGTGACATCTTTGTATCAGTAACTTTTATATCCTTGATGACAGCTGAAACAACTTTCAAAGAACGGTTCGGAGCGAAAGTGGCTATTTTGTTGCTAATTTGCAGGAAATATCTAGACGAAAGTTCTACAGAAAGTAGCTAAGGGTCCTCAGAAATGTAGCTAGCTTTGTCACTAGGTGTTAGGAACAGCGACAAAGTCACTGAGTTGGCACTGCCTCTCTCTCTGCTGCTAAAGCTACTGATAGCAAATGCTACGGGCGATGCCTGAGCGTGAACGCGCATGAAGCAGCCTGCTCGACCCGAGCATCTCTCTTTTTCTGTGATTTTGCAGAAAAACAGGCAATCACAGTAAAAATGCCAGGGCTCATTCTACAGGACCAGGGCATTGCTGGAGAATGTATGAAGAAGAAATGTATTATTTCTATACATGTTTTGGCTGTCAAACTTCCATAATGCCCCTTTAAATTTGAAATCCATGGCACATATCAAACTGGATCAGAAAACAAGTTTTATTGCTCCATAGACTCTAAATCATTGTTTTGACTGTAGGGGACCCATGGACCAGAAGTAGATGGCTGTGACTTGGATGCAGATGTAGTGTAATAGTTTATGCTCTTTTATGAAAGAGGAACCATTCTACATATTAATTTGAGATATAAATTTTAATAAATTAATAACCAAATTTTATAGTTTTAAGAAGACTCAAAGGTTGTTTTCATCGATAAACTGTCGATAATATCCGTGGGTCTGTGTTTCAGTTCAATGAAGAGACAAGTTTGAAAATTAAAAGTTTTAATTCTTCAAATTAAACTAATGATTTTGAAATGACAAGCATAGGAAACAACAATCAACATTGGCAACTTTGTTGAACAATCTTAAACAGTTGATATTTTAAACTTGCTCAAATAGACCTTGTGTTGAATGTGTGAAATTTAATAATGAGGTGAGATGAAGGCATGTGTGCGTCTGATTTTGCTTCAGGAAGAAACAGGTGTCTGAGTGAAAAGTGATGGGTTGAATAAAGGTTTTGTTGGAAAAGATGCATCAAACGCTATCTATTGTGTTCTGCCTCACCGTACGAGGACCCTCGTTCAGATCCGGAACGTCCCAGGAGGATGTTTCATCCAGGACACACCTTGGCTGGCAGAGGAGACGAAGGTGTGCGCCGATCCGGTCCAGAGATGCCCTCGGTACACGTGATGATGAAGCGTTTGCAGATGCGCTTTCTTAAGTTTAAATTACTCCGAAAATCAAAGACTCTGGACGAGTCTGCATTAGCGGTTGCAATTCAGCTATTCCTGTCTGGCTTGGCAGGAACAGCGTGAGGGGGGTGGGGGGGAAGAAGCCGGTGGGCTCCGTTCCCCCGTTAGCGGTTGTTCACACGTCCTCTCTCTTTCGTTGTCAAACCCCGAACTGAATCATGAACTGAAAACTTACCAAAAGCCTTTCTCTTCTCAAAGCAAAACTTGTGCGTCAGAGCAAATGTGTTTTGGAGTTTACTGTGAAAGTTTGTGTGTGTGTGAGTGTTTGAGTGAGTGTTTGTGTATGTGAAGGTCGTTTCCAAACATCCTCAAAACATTACTTAATTAAGCATTGATTCATTAGTTATTATGATTACCCAAGCATAATAATCATTCATTTGATTAAAATACATTTATAATGAGTACAATGGTAAAATGATTATTTAGCATTAATAAACAGAGGAAGTTTAAGACTTTGTTATGTTATGACTATCTTCCATGAGAACGCATCTTCTGGCACTGCAGGTGTTCAGATGTTATGGTTTGCAGCAGACTCTTGCAGACTTTATGTCGGCAAAAGTGGGTTAAAGTTCTGCGTGACCCAGCTTTGACCCAGCCGAGTCAAATGAAACCTTTGGCACAGAAAACCCATATTTCCTCACGTTAAACAGATCCTACTCACTCCCAGGAGTCCATAAATATTGTTGGACTAAATGCCAGAGGTGGAAAGAGTACTAAAATTTCCTACTTAAGTACGAGTACCAATACTTTGATCATTTTTTACTCACGTACAAGTAAAAGTACTTGCCTAAATTTTTACTCAAGTAAAAGTAAAAAGTATCGTATATAAAATGTACTCAAAGTAAGTTACTTAAATACATTTTTGTCATCATCAGTGCAAAACCACAACACCAGTTCACAACACGCTCATGTGTGCGCGCACACACACACACACACACACACACACACACACACACACACACACACACACACACACACACACACACAGAGAGTTTGATGGAAGGATTTCTATCTAATCCGTGAGAACAGGACGTGCACATTGATTGGATGAGATTTTTCTAGGATTGTACGTTTCAATTGTGATTAAAATTATTCTTTATTTTGAAAAAAAAGTTAATTTTTAGATGCCATCAGTATGTGAGGTATCTCAATGATTTCATGAAAAACTCTAACATGAGACTGTGCTCTAACCTGTCACATAACAAGCTAAGTGAAAGCCAAACATTTCAGATGGACCGTATGACAGCTGTTAACGTTGGCCCTGCCCTACTTTACCTCTACATTACAGTTCCTTTATCCATGTCCATGTAGAGCTCCTCTCTGACCTTCATGCTTATTTAGAGCAGCTGATTTTTAAAGTTAGCAGAGTTCATCCTTGGTAGTGGGTTCACTCACTCAGTTAAACCTTCACCACTGAAATCAGTTTGTTCATTCCAATCCTCCTAAATAATCCTCCAATCATCCAACTGGAATCCTTAAGGGTCCCGTAACGTCCATCCTGTCAGAATACACCTTGGGAGCCCAGGTGTTACTAGAACTAATGGTGTCTCCTCACCAGCGTGAGCCTCCAAACTGTGAAGGTTGGTCTCCAAACATGAACTTAATTCATGCATTTATCTCCTCTTGTAACACTTTAACATGTTTTAAAAGGCTTGTATCATGATATATTGTACCTATCTTTGGTCTGGGAGGTAAAACATAGAATATTATCATGAACACTGCAGAGATGTCATTATTTATGAAATAGAAGTTATTTTCCTGAGCCATTACTTCAGCCAAGATATAAGATGCATGGATTTCATGAAACCATGCTGCCTCATGCAGTCCTATATGTGTAACACACACACACACACACACACACACACACACACACACACACACACACACACACACACACACACACAC